CGTGTCATACCATGGAGTAGCATGATACTTTTTTCTGCTGCGTAGGGATTTTTTTTTTTTTTAGGTGGATGCATGGATTTTGCTCGAGTAGGTCAGCGTTGGGGTAGAACAATGAATGTTGTGTTAACAGTTTTTCTCTCTTATGGGGAAGCAGAGTGGGGGATTTTGGTTATGTATGTAGTTTTTTGACCATGACTTAAAACCAAAATGAAAGATGGAATGTCATTTTTTTTAATCTGTGCATTTCTAAACAGGGTTCTACATGCATAGATGACGCCCAACCTGACCCAACTAATACGTGGTGGGTTCTAGAACCATGTTCTATGTTATATGGGATTCAGAGGGAACAGAAAAAATTTCTTATGTGTGTTTAGTATGGTTTCTTGCTCTAAACAAACAGCAGAACATGTTCAGTATGCAGCATCTTGCCCATTGTGACATGTTAATTGCTAAATTCGCTGATTTGTAAAGTTATATTTATGCTGTATCTATATGGCATATTCTGATATGAAGAAGAAAACAATGAAACATGTTTCAGAAATCCTCTGATGACAGCAATGAAGGAATTCCTAACAGTCTTATAAGCCAGAAGACCCCCCCCCCGGGGGAAAAATTTTTCCAAAAAAAACCTTTTCCGTAGTCATGGGCCTGTTTGGCCATTCTACAAAGTTTCTGCTTCTTTGGATATTACCATTGCAAAAAATGTTGAAAGTTTAGTTTTTTGGTCAAAATTTTTCAACGAGTGCTTTGAGAAACTTTGATGTGTTATGATAATATTTATGTATTTATATTTTTATTTGTATTCTGTCTAAAAGATATTAATTTATAGTTTTCAATTGTGTTTACATGAGAAGCTTCTAGTCCCCGGTTTAGTAACATCGCTTGTCTGCTCTCTTTTGTGATTTTATATATATGCTTCATTCTTTGAAACACTGTTGATCTTTTTTCTTTTTTGTGTCTAAAATATTTCCACAATGTATCTGTTCAACATGCGTATCTTTCTTTACAATCTGATACACTACCTCCATCCTCAATATGATATTCAGTTCCTATCTTATCATAAGTTTCAAAACTCTGCTTTACTCTGACGTGTGTCTCAAGTAACTATTGTACTTGTAATTTAAGCTGTGATTCTCATATGATGTTTGAGAAAATTAGTATCCAATGGTAGGAATTTAAACAGATGAATGGATATTCCGGCACTGCTGGCCTTTTCATAAGGGTTATGCATAACCTAGCAATCCATTCAAACTTGACTGAATGAGAGGGTTTATGTCCTCATGCAGATGAGAGTTGTGTTCAGGTAATTGGGCCTACATTCTGGAACTGGACTTTCTTGATCTTGATAAGTTAAATTTTATGCAACCTGACTAGCCCTATCTTGTCTGCCCCTTGGACCCTGTGCATGGTGGGAGCTTGGTGCACCAGGCTGTCCTGCCTATTGGTCAGTTGGGTTAAATTTTGTGTCAAACCCGGCCAACATTTACCATTTGTGTGTTTTGTTGTTTGTTATGGCATCAAACCATATCGATCAAAACTAAAATTGTATTAAGCTATGCTTATATGCTTTTATCAGCCTAATTGAAAATCAGTCTGAATTCTGAGTTTTTTGACTTCAACAGGCGGCACCACCTCCAGTTCCTGGTCCTCCACAAACTTCGCCAATGTTTGGGATGCCACCTCCATTGCCAAATCAATCTATGACAACTACCATATCACCTGCGTTGGTCAAACAGGAGCCCCTGTGGCAGGTCCATCAAAAATTGATCCCAATCAAATTCCGAGGCCCACTCCAAGTTCCTCAGTGATATTGCATGAAACTCATCAAGGCAACCAGGCAACCATTCCTCCGGTATTCATAAAATTCTTTTTAAATGGCTTGCTTCTAACTTTACCTGCATTTTTTTTGTCTTTGCTTTTCTTACTTTTTAACCTTTCCTCTCATACCATCATGGGTCCCTAATTTCCTTTTTTATTTTTGTAATATATGTTTTCACAATCAGTGTAATCTGAAAAGTGATCAGTGATGTATGTTGTATTAGTCTCCCAATGCTGCATGTTCTTACGGTTACTTTTCCTAATCTGGTCCAGCCTGCTACAAGTGATTACATTGTAAGAGATACAGGGAATTGCAGTCCCCGTTACATGAGGTGCACAATCAATCAGGTAAGGTTTAAAGTAAAAAATACTAAATTTTAGTTTTAAACCTGTTTTTTTTCCATGAGAAATGCTAGGATCTTCAAGCCCAAGTCTCTTGCCTTTGCCTCTGTTTTAGATGTTGGTTATGGTATCTTTGTGATGCTTGGCTAATGATTACTTTGTGGATACTGGATGGCATGGTTACAATCTTGTTATTATGCTTTGCGTAGTTTTATTTTATTATTATTATTTTTTTCTTGACACTGTGTCTTTTCCTGGTATTGTATTATTGTCTCTTTCTGATGTTTTCTTCCTTTATCCAAAATGTTTTAGCTTTACAATAGTATTCATGGTGTTGGTTCTCAGAGTTCTGAAACTGTTTGAATTTTTATTTTGCCCTATTGAAATGCTTTCCTTTCCTTTGTTCTCTTTGGTGAATGTAACAGATTCCTTTCACTGCTGACCTTTTGGCAACATCAGGAATGCAATTGGCGTTGTTAGTCCAACCTTTGGCCCTTCCTCACTCCTCTGAGGAACCCATCCAAGTAGAGCCTTATGTTTCCTGCATTTGAAGTTTTTCGTCAGTTATAATTATTAAATTTAATTAAAATAAAAAATTAGTAGTTTTTTCTGTCTCATCATATTTTAATTCAAGAGCAAGACATTTTGCTATGTTTTTGGAATGTTGAGTTTAAGTTTCGTTGTTTGATTCTAGTGATTTCTCAGATTACATTTTATTATCAAATATCAAATTTTTGGAGTATAGATCCTGTAGTTTGTGTGGATACTTTCCACAGTGCATTGTCATCTTGACAAAGTAAATAAATTGTTGGGCGATTGTTGTAATTATATCATATGTTCGATGGTCTGCTATTTGTTTAATGACATCTCTGCTTGAGCTTCTACCTAGGTATTCTTTCTATTGATTGAGAAAAGTGCATCAACTAGCCCCTCTTGAACTTTTTGTTCAAATTGTAGCTGCCTTTGCTTCCTCCTATTTGACAGTATGCACTTATCTCTTGTTTGATGTACAGAACTACTAGGCATGATAATTGAAAAGGAACAGAGATGTAAATGGAATATAACAATTATGTTTAGTATGATATCGAAAGGAATGAGAATGCATTGTAGCTGTATTTTGGTTGGGTTAAAATAATGCAAGAATGAAAAAGAATGATGAAGGAATGACTCTAATGTCTTTACTTAAAAATAATGGTGGTTTGGAGCAAATAATGATAATCATGGTGTCAGCTGTATGAAGTTAGTTGTGGAATTAGTTAAGTCTGTTGGTAACAGGCTTATTGTTGTGAGGATTAGTTAATTAGGTTGGTTTATTTCCAACATTTTCTCTTTCTTGAGGAATTAGTGTAAATCTAGATAAATACATCTGCTATCTTATTACCTCATGGTCGTATAGGTTGTGGACTTTGGGGAGAGTGGTCCTGTCCGCTGCTCGCGTTGCAAGGCCTACGTAAATCCTTTCATGAAATTTGTTGATCAAGGAAGGCGTTTCATCTGCAACTTGTGCGGTGAGTAGAATTTGTATTTGATATTATATTACTCATCTTATTGAGTAGTTCCTTTTCTTGTGTGCCATGTTTGGTTGATGGAAAGTTCACTAAGGAGAAAGGAAAGGAGGAATCCTACCACAGCATGTGTGGTTGAAGGTAAAGGGCTAGCATTCCATTCCCATGGGAATGGAGATTCCAAGACTAGCATTAAGGATTCCATTACATGGTCAATGGAATAGTTTACTATTTAATGGATTCTGACAAGACAAAAAAGCTTGTCCCCTCAAAATTACATTAGCTTCCACCAGTGTAATTTGCGTAGCATACTTGTGCACTAGGCGTTTGCATTCACATTTATATTATACAAAAGATATTGTATTGTGAAAAATATGATCTATATTAGATTTTGAAATGAATCATATCAAAAACATGTTTATTATAGCAGCAACAAGCATTATCCTACTATATGGGGTTGGTTACATGGATTATATGATGTCATTTATCTCTATCATTTATTAAGTTTTTAGAAATATTGTTAATTAAGAGGTTTTGATCAACAATTTTTAAAAGTGTTCTCTTTGATCTTTCTCTACCCTTTTTGATAGGGTTCAAAGTTATCTGTTCCACTCTCCTCACAGGTGTCTTTTGTGGTCTTCTTTGTACATGTCTAAGTCACATCAAACAATTTTTTACCATCTTTCCATTAATAGATGCGACGCCCACTTTTTCTTGTATATGCTCATTTTTTATTTTTTTTTACGTGTACATCTGCACATTCATCTCAGTATTTTCATCTCTGCTACTTCAACTTTCTGCTTTTGTTGTCTCGTTAAAGCCCAACATTCACTATCATATAATATTGTTAGTCTTATAGCAGTTCGATAAAGTTTATTAAGTACTTTATGATCGCAAATAAATCTTTTAGCTTTTATTCAATTAAAACACTCAGCTTGTATTTTATGTGCAATATCTCCATCAATTTTCCCATTTTGTTGAATAATTGCTCTTAAATATCTAAACTTTTTCACTTGAGGTATGATCAAATCACTCAATTTCATTTCCAAATTACTACTCACTAATCTTTTATCAAAATTACCATGTAGATATTTCGTTTTATTCTTACTCAAGTAAAAACCTTTTGACTCTAATGTCCTTCTTCATAACTCAAGTTTACAGTTAATCTCTACTCTTATCTCTGCAATAAGAATTATATTTCTGTGAAAAACATATATTTAGGGATTTCCTCTTCAATATGCTTAGTTAAAACATCAAAAATAGGCCAAACAAATAATGACTTAAAGATGATTCTTGATACAGCCTAATTTTTATAGGAAAGTATTTTGTTTTGCCATTAGACGTTCTTTAATAGTTGTTGCCTCTTCATATATGTCTTGAATAGCTGAATATAGGCAACTCGAAACCCTTCTTTTCCAATGCTTTTTAAAATACTTTTCTCAGTACACTATCATAAGCCTTTTGTGTTAGGCCCTCAATAGTTAATGTAAAACTTTATTGAATCTTACATGGATATAGACAATCAAAAATATGTTTCCTGTTTTTATTAAATTAATCTTTAATTGATGTGAAAATGATTTTTAAAAATTCAAAATTGTAACATGTTAATATATTTTGTGTAATAATGGCATTATTGTCCGACAAAAACGATTGTCCATTCCTTTCTAGGACATATTAAACATAAGTATCTCATTTCATCAATCCTTTGTGCCATTCCCATTCTAATTCCTATTTCCCATCCCCATTCTTATTTCTAGAAAAATTTTACGCTAACCAAACAATCCCTTTGAGTCAGAAAGGGGACTTCGGAAAGGAATTACCAGTTTGCTCTGATTTACAGGGAGAATTTGCTAGCAGGCTGGTTGAGTATTGTGAGTTGTATGTATTTATTTATTGTGTTTTATGCATTGCTTGATGGTAAGTTTCAATGTTTAACTGTGATCTCAAGTTGTGTATCACTTAATTTATAGGTTGGTGAAGACATTTTTATGGCACAAGTAAACTGTCTTAACTTTTTGTGACTGGTGTATTTACAAGTGATCCTTATAATTTTGATAGCTCATGGTTTTTGTTTTATAGGATCTTTCTATATTCATCTTTGATACGTGGTCAACCTGTGGATCTGACTTATAATCTGCTTTACAGGATTTACTGATGAAACTCCACGTGACTACCATTGCAATCTAGGTCCAGATGGTCGGCGCAGGGATGCTGATGAAAGGCCTGAATTGTGTAGAGGAACAGTTGAATTTGTTGCTACGAAGGAGTTCATGGTTTGTATAGTTGAAATGCAGTCTTACAAATATTCTTTGAAGAGTTTATTGTTTTTATAAGTTCTTTTAGCCTCATTTATATTGGTTGTTTATCTTTAGATATTGAGTTGTAGAAGACGTTGATAGCAAGTATAGCACATTTTATTCATTGTCATTTTAGAGAACTGAATGTCACTTAACAGTCCTCTATCAAGTGAACGAAGACATTGAGGGTTGGAGTTAGCAATTTGAACAAAAATGAGAGGATGATTTACTGATATTTACAGAAGAGTTTTATATATAGGGGAGAGGATAGCAACATTTTTGCTTCTCAATCCCATTGATTAAGCTGTAATAAATGAGGGAATGTTGCAGAATATTTACAAACCTATAAAAGGAAATAGAACAAAATGTAATAAAGCGATAATAAAGCCAGTCTACGGAATATTATTCTGCCAACACTCCCCCTCAAGCTGGAGTAGACAATAATCATTCCTGGCTTGTTGCTTAGTCCCTCAAACCTGATTCTTGAGGGATTTAGTGGGCAAATATGCAACTTTTTTGTTTGTTGACACGTGATGGATCTAATAGGCCAGCTTCATCTTTTTCTTTTATAAAGTGATAATCAATTGCACATGTTTAGTTCTGTCATGGTGAATAGGGTTATTAGCAATTTCTATGATAGCCATGTTGTCACATAAGACCTTCATTTGTGGCTCCACTTTAATTTTCAGTTCTGCCAATACCCTTCTTATCCACATTCCTATGCAAATCCCAAGAGCTAAAGCTTGATACTCAGCTTCTGCACTGCTCCCAACTACTCAGCTTTCTTCTCACTCTGCCAAGTAACCAGATTTCCACACACAAATACACAACACCTTGTGGTTGATCTTCTATCTGTTACAAAGCCAGCCCAATCTGCATCGGTGAAGACTTCTACCTTTCTTGCTGTGCTTTTCTTAAAACACAATCCCTTCCTAGGTGTCATTTATTGATACTTAAGTATTCTAACTACTGCTTTCATGCTGCTCTCGGGCATTTGCATAAATTGACTTACCACACTAACGGGAAAGCTTATATTAGGCCTTGTGTGTGAGAGGTATATATGTTTTCTGATATAGTAGAAGGAGATGAAGAGAGAAGAAACAATGTAGAAAAGGAGGGAAAATAGAAGATGAGAGACACGTGAGAGAGAGAGAGAGAGAGTATAGAGAAACTGAACAATATTTCTAGGTTTTCAATCAAGCATAGTATTTGACTTATACTAGATCTTGTATAGACCCTTAATAGAAAATCCTAACAACTAATTACATAACTGTCTAAAACTTTGTTCTTTATTTATTTACTCTTTACATATTAATACCCTCCCCTCAAATAAACCCTTGACCTCAAGGATGCAGCAATCTGAACCCTTCAATGAAAACAACAGCAACAACAAGCCTTTATCTCATTAGGTGGGGTCGGCTGCATGAATTGCAAGATGCCATTGTGCTCTATCGTTTACCAAGCTTTTAAAAATATTATTAATTAAGAGATCGCGTTCAACAACTTTCAAAAGTGTTCTTTTAAACCTTCCTCTACTCTCTTGACAGGGTTCAAAGTTATATGTTCCACTCTTCTTATTGGTGCCTTTGGCGGTTTTTTTGTATATGTCCAAATCATCTCAAATGATTTTCTACCATTTTTTTCTCAATAGGTGTTACCGTCATTGTTTTGCGTACGTGCTCATTTCGAATTTTATCTTTATGTGTATGTCCGCACATCCATCGTAACATTCTCATCTCTGCTACTCCAACTTTATGTTCTTACTGTCCTATTAAAACCTAGCATTTATTACTATATAACATAGCTGGTTTGATAATAGTATGATAAAACTTTCCTTTAAGTTTATTAAGCACCTTATGGTCGCAAATAATTCTTTTAGCTTTTCTCCAATTAAACCACCCAGCTTGAATTCCATGGGAAATATCCTCATTGATTTTGCCATCATTTTGAATGATGGTTCCCAAATATCTAAAGCAGATTATGAGTCAGATTGAAGTTCAATAAGTTGGATATGCATCTGCTGATTCAATGAACATCTATGGCCTTTAAAGAAGGGCTTGTGGCAATAAAAAGACAGATTCTTTGACCTAAGATTATCAACTACTTATGGGTTTAGTATTTTTGTAACCTTTGTGTTTGTTGATGAAGAAAGAGCTGCTGAAGACGAAGGAACAAAGAAGATGGAACCTCTTTTCAAAGAAATAGAGTGGGACTCATGAGAAAAGACATTTTTACCCTTAATGAAATTGGACTCACTTTCTCCAACTACCACTTTTGCACCCTTCCACCTCTCAGACGATTGTAAGACGCATGGAGGAGGACCCAACAAACTTGCCCAAAACAATCCATCTCTCCTAGTTTCATTGACACCTTTGTACTCATTGGAAGCATTTGTCAAATGGATCTCCTACAACCTAGCAAGAAAGCATTTTTAATAGCAAGCTGGTGTAATGGCCAATCAAAGTTTGTTGAAAGTGAGAGAAGGATTTTAACGGTATTAAACTTGGCTACAGGAACAAATGTTTGTGTTTGTGTAAATCCTTTGTCTACCATTAGGATTATATTTTATGGTGAATACCCACTTACAGCCTACTTTTGACTCTCCTTGAGGTAGGCTAGTCACCTCCCAGGTCTGATTCTTTTCTAAAGCTCTCAACTCTTCTTATGTGGCTTCTCTCCACTTTGGTTCCTTTATGGCTTTATAGAAGCATTCAGGTAGTTTTTCAGCCTCCAATTTTGTAGTGAATACCAATAAGGACTGCTTCCCCTAAAAATGATTCGGAACATTAGAAGTGAGCATGATAGATTGGGCAACCTCTAGTAAATGCCTATTTTTTCTTTCAGAAATACCATTCTATTGATGTATATTAACACATGATCTTTGATGAAGAATGCCATGACTGAGAAGAAAATGGCTTAGATCATATAGAGTTTTAGACGATGTTGATTGCATATTTCAGCATCTGGAGCCACTTCATTATTCTTCTCTGTATCACCTTCATCTTGATCTCCATTTCAGGTCCAATAGCTTCAGGCCTATTAACATCCAAGTTCAAGGAAACATTTATAGTAATACTGTAGGAAAGCAATTATGACTGTTTGTATACAAGGGCATTAAATTTCTGGTGCAATTACTGTTTTAACAGCCTGCAATGGGGATTTATTAATTATGTCAAACAATAACATTGAATGTCTCTAATGATGCAATTAGCTTTCTGGGGCGTTTTTGGTTCATTCTGTGTTCGTATTTTTCTGTTTGAGGATTTTTTATTCTCAATAATTTGTACGATCTTTTTTTTTAATACAATTTCTTAGAAATTGCTAGGAATATAGAGTTTCTTATCTTGTGGAAGATTAGGTAAAATTGACCTCTAGTTAATAGATTTTGTTGATAAATTATAATTTGTATTTCTGCTAATGGGTTTGCTGTGAAATTTAGTATCTCGCAATTGACGAGACTAAGAAATGTACTTTTGTTTTACTTTTATGGGGTTTGTGATGAAATTAAGTTGAACTCGCAGCAGTACAAGGAGGAATCACAATAAAAGCTTGTTGGTTAGACCACATTTGAATTTGTGTAGGACAATAAGAAAATTATGATCTGGCTTTTGTTTGTGGATATATGGCGATTAATGGGTGGGTTGAAGGTTCCTCAGAGAACAGGCTGGGAAAGAGTGGTTCACATTCAACAGAATGGGTTTAAGAGCCACATCGATGGCTGTTTGGGGTGCTGTGGACTCCTCCAAACTTAAGAATTTAGCAGCCCTTTTATGAGATTACAGTTTCAAAAACATCTAGAAATTGTGTTGGGATGTGCGATTTTATTCTTTTTTTCCCCTTATCTATAATCCAAATGCGTTGTAAAAACTGGAAAACAAAAAAATTTTTAAGGCCTAGAGATGGATGCTACTCTGTTACGAATAGTATTTGAGTACTATTCATTCTATTCTCCTCTGTTCCTCTCCTACCAACCCCTATCTCTCTCTTTATTCCTCTCTCTCTTTTTCTATCTACAACACAAACTGTCTAACCAAATTATTTAATATATTATTTACGTAACAGTTTGTTTCATGTTTTTGAAAGTAGTTTAATGATTTAATTCGGAATTTTGCTTTTTATGGGCACTTTCTGTACAATAAACCTAGCTCTTCATTTATTGTTGCTGGTTGTCTCGCTTGGCTGTGCAGCCAGATGGGATAGCTCTATTGTAAATCTTAACCTTCTTAAAATTTTTTAATATTTTACATTGAAGTGTTTGGATTTTAGTCTTTACATTTCTGGAGGATGCTCTATCCTCAACTTTTGTTATATTTTCCTTCTCAATATACATTTTTCCTTTATTTAATATTGAAGAAATCGGCTGAATACTTATTGCCTTTCAGTCCGATATATATTTATTCAGTTGATAGTTAAGTATTTGTAAGTGGAGGCAACAAGCTTGCCTTCATAGCTAAGAAATAAATCTTGGGCAATTTAAAACTAATCTGATTAGATAATTATCTATCAGATTCTATCCTAAAAGATTGGCTGAGTGATTTAAAAATGGAAAATAAATCAGAAAACACAGTACTAAATAAATAAATGAATAAAAAAAACCATTAACAAGAAAAACTCACAGATCGACGCCTCCCAAGAAGCAGAGGACGGCTTCCTTCTCAATAAACATTTTTCTTTTATTGAATATTGTATTATTGTTGTTGGCTCTTCACAAATACTGCATTCTGCATAAAACCTTTAGATGTAGAAATTAGTTTATTTCTTGTTTTCTTTTAATTAAATAAGTGTAAACAAGAAACCATGTTATATGTTTGAATGGAACTGAGACATGGTACAACCAGAGCCATGTGATGTTTTGGAGAAAAGGTGTCTATGATGAGTGGCATATGATTCTTCCCATTTCTTTGTAGGTTCGTGAGCCAATGCCAGCTGTGTATTTTTTCCTCATTGATGTATCCATGAATGCTGTGCAAACTGGTGCAACAGCTGCTGCTTGCAGTGCAATCGGTCAAGTCATCACTGATCTTCCTGTGAGTCATGTGCGCTGATATATTTTATCTGATACTTGATGATTTTTATTTATTTGAGTGGATTCAGGTTCTTGTTACTTTTTAACTGAATATTTCTCCTATTTGCAATAAATCAAGATATTTATAATTTATAATAATTTCTCTAGATTCTCAGACAGTTCCCGGATTGTGTTTTTTCCTACTGTGTCTTTTGTAGCTTTACTGCCTTGTCGCATGGGACTGTAGTGACTGATTTGTGACCATGATCTATGTATATATATGTTGTGTCTATTCATTTGAAATATGAAGAATTCAGATACGTTCTATATTTTTCTTCAATTTTAAGTGATCATATGTGGCTGTGTGTATGTTGTTCAATCTAACCATGGTTTAATAATTAGTTAACATGTGATTCAAAAGCTTGTTCAAGCCACCATTTCAGCTTGGTTAATTTTGTTCTTGATATGCTAAGGGTGGAAAACCTTAGGGTTTCAATGTTTGCTTTGCATTTTCCATTTTCTAGTAGGCTTTGAGTTTCTATATCGGTAAGCAGTGGCTCTCTTATCACTGTTCTATAGATTGTATAAACCCCAAAAATCAGTCACCGCAGGGAAATTTATGCCCTAGCTATGTGTCATGCGTTTATGTTATTCTTACAAATGTTAGTTTGCAGGATTAGAATGCAAACTTGCCATTATCTGGTTGACTAGTCTTCTTCATCCCAGTCCGGGCTTTGATGCCCCTGCTTCATTATTTATGTTAATCGAGAAAAAGAAAGAAAAATCTGAATTGGATCATTGATTTGCTTACAACATTTCCTTTGGATAAGCACAATCAAGATGTTTTGTGACCCAATAAATCTATTTCTGATCAAGATGAACAAATTATGGGAGACTTGGGAAGCTTGTATTCTTGTCATGATAGCAAATACTTAAGTGGGATTCCAAAGGCTTGTTATTGAGGTGGAAGAACCACTAAAATACACCATAGCATCCCATACTACTTAGTGTGAGACTTGGGCATCCCACATTATCATAGTCTCCTTCAATTGGCCCCACCTTGTAGAGCCTACATTATGGCGGTTATACTTTGCAACACTTTACTTGATTTTCTCATTGATTGAAATGCTCAACCCTCCATAGGTAGCCCTTTTCAAAAAAGTTGACCGACCATTAGCTTCAATACTAATTGATGGGTGAAGTGAGATAGAGAAGCCTTTTGAAAAAGCTGGCTATTGTGATGAAAGAATTAACCCGCTTTAATACTTAATAAAACATTCCATTCTACTCAATTTGTGACTTAGGCGTCCGATACTATCTTAGCCTCTGTCAATTTTAAAGGGTTTGGTAACAAGGACGATAAGGGTTTTTTGGGGCTAGGCATGGTTATGAGATTTTATGGTTTGTCTGGTTGGAGAGGCATACACAAATTCGTTTTTGGTAACAAGGACATTATCTTGCTTTTGAAGTTTTTGTGGAACATGATTGTATTTATGCTTTGCTATGTTGCCTGCACACAGTATTTCAAGAGAATCAGTTATTCCTGACGTGCTGTGAGACTGAACTTTTGTTTAGTGATTTGCTCATTTAGGGATTAATTTTTTTTTTCCTGATTATACTTGTTTTATTTGATTCAGGTTTTCTTACCCTCCATTTTGGGTACTCCTTTCTCTTTTTAATAAAACCTCAAAAGAAAAAGAAAGAACCTTATATTTTGTTTTTCACATGCAAATCTAGTACCAAACAAACGGATTTAGTTGCTTCTAGTTTATCGTGGTCGTCTGGAATCTGTTTGATGTTTTACTTAGGAGGCTTTAGGGATTTCTTCTTATTATGTTTCATTTACATTACACACGCATTTGAAAGAGAGGTACATTTCTTAACTATCATTTTCTTTTGTTGATTCAGGAAGGTCCGCGAACAATGGTGGGAGTTGCAACATTTGACTCTACAATCCACTTTTACAACCTGAAACGTGCTTTGCAGCAGGTAAAAACTCAAATAATATGTACATTTTGCGATTGCTTAATTTTCTATTGGATTTTTAATTTGGAAGTTGATGTATCAATTCAGTTCAATACTATGCTTTTTCGAGAGAATATCTACAAACTATGTCAAGATGAAGGTGAAGAGCTAATAGTGATCAATTACAATTGATCTTGTCTGACTATTGCATTTTTCTGCATTATCCTGTGTTCAAACTTTTCCATCATTATATGGGTGTACAAGCCTCTTTGGTTCTCTTTGCCACTAATTAATTTCATAATTTTTATTTGTTAATGTAGGCATCTAGAGCTCCAAAGAGATTTATGGTTTACTTGGTTTATCAAATAGGGATTAATCATTCAGTACAAAATCCCTTCGTATTACCTTACATTGGGTCTGCGTTCAATATTTATGGTCAGGAAGGTGCTATTGTTTGTTTATCCTTTCCAGTGCTACCATATCTTGGTGGTAGATACAATCATTTTCAAAATGAGATGGCCTGTATGGAATAGTTTGGTTGACTAATTGTATATAATTATTACATATCTATATATGGTGGATAAGTCTATGATTTGGTCAAAAACATGGGTAGGTTACTTGTAATGTTAGTGTTGGAATATGTTTGGTTTTTATATAGTCTTATTATTACTGTTATTTAGATTGTTAGGGTAGATTTATTCTTTATTGTTAATTCCCCTATTATTATGGGATTTCAGAGAGCTTAGGATACATGATTTATTTAATTCTAATGCATCTATTGATTATGGCATAAGAGTGAGCGTTATCCCTAAAAATTAATCAGTTAAGTTTCACAAATGGTCTTAAAAGAATGTAATGAAGGCCAATGTTGTTTTATGAATGAATTTGAATTTTAAGCAAGCAGTGAATAAGAATGGGTTTCTGTTTACTGCAATTAAGTTGTGCGAAGGAATTGAATGCATAGAGTTAAATATGCATTGTTGGTTTCAATTTTATTTGTTTTGTATTTCATAGTACAGGACAAATTTGTTTTCTGTTTTACTTGTTTACATTCAATATTTATTATTTTGAGCATTGAATTTATCTAATGAATTGTGGGTTATCAAATCTGCTCTTTGATAATTAGTTAACTTTATATGTTCTAATTAGTTTGAGTCTCGTTGATTTTTAATTTTGTCGTGTCTGTAGCCATTGATGCTCATTGTTCCTGATGTACAAGATGTTTATACCCCTTTGGAAACTGATGTTATTGTTCCACTAGCTGAGGTGAGTTTCAACCTATTTTGGTAGAAGCTTATTAGACGAATTGATGTTTAATATCTTATATTTCTTATTCATGGTTTAGCCATATTCCTTTTACGTTTCTAAATTAGTTTTCTTTCCTGGTGTTAGTGCCGCCAACACTTAGAATTACTTCTGGAAAGCATTCCTACCATGTTTCATAATAATATGACCTCTGAATCAGCCTTTGGTGCTGCAATCAAGGTATGGCATCTTGTTTGAAGCAATTGCTTTTCATTTTGTTCATGCAGATGTATAAGACCTGTCACTGACTTTTGCAACATTATTGCATAATTAATTGGCCGTTGGATGCTCTGGTAGATAGATGTCACGGTTTTTTGTATTTTTCTTTTTCTTTTTTTATGTTTTCTCTCCTTTTTCTTGATCTAACATAGGCATCCGTGCAAGCATGATGTGGTAAATATACTTTTTGGGTGGAAGAACAAAGCTTCTTTTTAAGCAGTTTAAGTATAATAAGCATGATACTGTTTGTTGTATTTTGTTCATCTAGTGAACACCTCATTAGTTGTTATTTTTAGCACCTGAGCTATAAGACTGGTAAAAGAATTGCCATTCATACTATGTCTCTAAAGAAGTTGAGTTTTGTTAAGCATTATTTATTAGATAAGAAATTTTGATTAGTTTTTGTAATCATCAAATAGGTTATTTAAACAATGGTCATAAGTAAGGACAATGTAGATGATGAGGTTTTCCTGTCCATAGAATTATTTAACTTGGATGACTTGAGCAATGCTTTAGGTAGCAGTAATCCAGTGTATAATGAGGTTTTCTTTCATTTGATATGCAAGGCGATTGGAGGGTTTGGTTATGCTATACAGCTGTGTTTACGTTCATCTTGTTTGCTTTTTGCCTTTGGATTTACAATTTAACAATGTCAAGGCAAAAGTGTATGCACGTAGAAGTAAGAAATTGATGCTTATACCATAGTTGTCTTAATTTAGGCAGCTTTCTTGGCAATGAAGGGAACTGGAGGAAAGTTGTTGGTATTTCAGTCAGGTGAGCTTGGTAGCTTTTGCATTTCTTCATTTTTTTGATAATTGATAATTGTTTTGGGAGTGAAATTTTCAGATCCTCTATGTAATTCAAAAGAGAAAGAACAGCAATATACAAATAGATGGTAGCCACAGACCCAGCTACTCACTGACAACAAATGAACAAGAAATCAGCGTAATCTAATAGAAATAAAACAGAAAAAAAAAAAATCAACAGCTAATAATGGGCCTGGTATCAGGCTTGAGGTCCTCCAACACTCCCCTCAACCAGAGAATATATGTTGATGGTTACCAGAACCTAACTCTTAACAGAGCCTGTCATAAGATTTGTTACTTGAGAGTTGGATTTGGAAGATATGTAGGTTATCATCGTTTTTATTGTTTGATTCATCAGTGCATTCATTCAATGTTCCTCATGATTGTATTCTGTTGTTTTCAGTCTTGCCATCACTAGGCATTGGTGCCCTCTCCTCTAGGGAGGCTGAGGGTAGAACAAATACCTCTGCAGGGGAAAAGGTATCATTTTGAATTTGGCTTGTTTTATCCTTAATGGCAATGTCTATAAAATTTTATGGCATAAAGGCTTGTTGTTGTTGTTGTATTCTTGTAGACTTGAGCATGATTAATTAGGTGTTCAGGTGTAAAGCTAATGTTGTAATGCTGATGCCATTAAAACTAACGCTGATGATCAAGTTTGTATCCATAGAACAAAGAAAATCTCAACCAGCAACATGAGATGGAAGTGGAGAAGAGATGAAACCCTAATACTTTCTTTCAGTAAGGTTTGACTGTCTTCCTCCATGAGTGAGATGGGGACTATTATAATGGAGGTGATGACAATCCCCACCCTATGTCTGGTGCCCAAGAGCCCAGGTGCTCTCCTCTCGTACACCTTCACTACCCCTCTTCTGGCAGCTTAATTTTCCTAATACCCTTTCTAATGTGCTTTTACTACCTTACAAGGTAGTAACCTTCTATTTTTGCCCATTCCCCCTTTCTCCCTCCAGGTCAGTAACCTCTACATATCAGGCCTGGCCCTTCTTTCGTGTAGCATAGGTCTTGTAAGTTACAACCCCTTTAAGGCCTGGTCTACACCCCTCTTAATGTATACCTTCCTCTCAAAGCCCATCTTTCTTACATCAGTTAGGTAACAAGTCTTATAAGCCATACAAACCCCTTTAAGCCTTGTCTACTGCTCTTAGTGTATGCTTCCCCCCAAAGCCCATCGTTCTTACAAGGGTTAGGTAAGTCATTATTAACTATTAGTGAATTAGGAATTAAAGACACAGAAGACATGATTTTAAATGAGATTAGAATTATTTTAATTAAGAATAAAATAATTTTATTTTAAATTTCACAACTTATCAGCTTATTGTCTTTTGTTAAAATAATGACTGTTAGAGTTAGCTTAGTATTTTTTAATTGTGTCTGTTAACTTCTCCCTAGTGAATGAATGACCAAAGGTATAATGGTCCCTGACATGTCAAGTACTGCTTTCACCCAAAAGCCTACACTAGTAATTGAAGGCTATAATTGATTTTATTAACATCTAACTTGCGTCTTCACATGAAAACCCTTTGGGCTTTGAAGTTTGAACAAAATGGGTCCGCCATTCCTTATGCTCAATTTCACTGTTAATTAGGAGAAAGGGGCCAGCAAGTATCAGATTGCTTGTCTGTGAAAACATGCCAAAAGCTCACTTGGTCATAAAGGCCCTTGCACTACATCAAGGAGCATTTAACCCAAAAGTTTAAGCTATTGAATGATGGCTTGTGACTGGTTTTATTAATCTCTCTCGCATGTTGATCTTGTTGAACATTAGGAGGCTCATAAATTGCTTCAACCAGCCGACAAAGCATTCAAGGAACTGGCAATTGAATTTGCTGAATATCAGGTGATCTGAGATTCCTTTTTTTCTTTTAATCTGGTTGGGATTATGGATTGGTTTTTGTTGTGAGTATTTAATGATAAGCATCATGAGGGTGTGCTAATTGTAATTGTTTTTCATGCTGAAGGTCTGTGTTGATGTATTTCTCACTACCCAGACTTACGTAGACATTGCTTCCATATCTGTCATTCCAAGAACTACTGGCGGACAGGTATACATTATATTTCTGGCTTTTGTTTCTGTATGATTGTGTTGTGGAGAAGGTGGGGAGGAGAAAATAGAAGAGAAGAAGGGAGTTAGGTAGGTAGAAAGACAGGAAGAGATTAGGAGAGAGAACATGAAACTTCAGATTTTGCATTTCACCAGAATTATGACCATATAACTGACTGACTGACTTTTTTCAAGTCACATTATTAACTAACATATCAATATTCCCTCCCTCAGAAGACCCTTATTAGGGAATACGTTTGGCTTAATGAGTTGGGTCCATGTGATCAGTTTAACGGCTGCAACTAGTTTGACGTAGTCTGACTATTGCTGAGCTGTATTTCTTAACATGAATGTAAACTCTTTATCAATGGAAGTAATGATCAGACTATTCACTTTACTCTTCTGTGTTTTGACTCCTTCCTTCTCTCTTCCTCAACTCTATCCTAATCGCAATACACTTGCCCTCAAATGTCAAGTACCGGGACATTAGACTACTTTTGTTAGGGGAAAAAAAATCCTAGGACTGGACTCAAGCAACATTTCAACCAACTTCCCTTTGTGCCAAAGCGGAATGTGAAGTTCAGTGAATCTCCTTTTTCATACCCTTTTGCTAGCCCTTTTATTTCAGTAGCCTTGACACACTTATGTAAGGAATCTGTATTCAGTTCCCTTATTTGCAACCTTCCTTTAAGCCCCTTGCAAATCCCTTTGGCCAGTTCCATCAACTACTATCGACCTTGCCTTCTCAACTGTTGCAATTTGTTGTAATGCTTCCTTTATCTTAGGTTCTTCTATAATTTCCTCTTTTGCTACACATTGTGCCTTTTCAATTCCATCTTTGTTACTAGCCTGGCCTTCTTTCTGATTAGTGTTCACAGTTTCAGCATTGAATGTCTTGCAAATTGAGGCATTTCTAGTTGGTTTTGAGGCTGATCCTGCCAAGAACCTAGCATTGAATGTCTTGGAGCTTTGCAATTTTCAGTGTCCAACCATGTTCTTTGACTGAATAGTCTTACCTTTCCAGTTATATCTTCCTTCAATCCAGTTGTAAAACAATCATTCATTTGGTTTTCAGACACCTTACTTTGCATCAAATCTTGCATTGGATCTTCATGTCCTGATCCAAATCATCCTTTGCTTGCTGTTGTGTATACCTCCTTGTAATCCAGCCAAGAACACTTTGATAAGATTTTGGAAGCTCCTTTGCTGTTCTTGAAAGCCTAACACCTTTTCCTGTTGATTCCATTGACCTCATGGGCTGGGTAATTTGTCATGACATCCCTACTGCCTATTCTTGAATGTCTGACAGCTTTTGCTCAATTCTTGACAATGTTTTGCTTCTTCAAATATGTCATTCTTGGCTGGTTGACTGATAGCTGTGATGCCACTGTTATGAAGAAGAATGTAGAAACATGAAATAGAAGATAAGAAGGGTAATAGATAGATAGTTAGAAGACAGGGAGATCAGAAGAGAGAGAACATGAAACTTCAGATTTGCATTACAGCAGAATTCTGACGCTACACAAGACTCCTGTTGCCTTTTACATACACAAGGTAACAGATATATTACTTGCTAACATTCATATTTGTGGAATTAGGGGGCGTCTAGGGAGGATAAGAGAGTGTAAAAGAGGAGTATTCTGATGATTCTATCTTCTTATTGAGTGTATTCATCCCTATATATATATAGGGAGTAAATATAGGGAGAAAGTTTAGAGTATCACAATGAACCTGTTGACATCATTGCTTGTTGCATGAAGGGGGAAATATTGTGTGAGAGAAAATATTTTTCATTGATTTGAATCTCACATTACACCCAAATATATATAGATAGATGGAAAAAAGAAGATAAAGTCTAATGAATGCTTATAAATGATATACACTCATATCCTAGTCACTAATCCTATCTTAGAGCATATTTACAATTAAAACAAGGATGTTCCCACAAATATTATTTTAATGTAAAATAGATCAGATCTTTGTGGTGACAGTTGAAGCATGAGTTAGTGTCGCTATTGTTGTCATCATCACGGTAGTTTCATCGTCATCATCATTTGTTTTACTACAACATAAAACATGTCTTGAGAAGCTGGCGATGCTCAAGTGTGAGTAGGATCCATTCTTCAAGTTTGCTTTATGCATGCGGTCCTATACTATGATAAGCTTCCTCACATGTAAGCACTCATTTTCCCATTTTGTTTTTCTTGCGGAGAGATGAAATGTGTAGAAAAATGATGCTTCAAAAAAATGTGACTGCGGGGAGTGGGGCTTGATAGGAACGGAAAAGAATGTTCTGATGCAAGCAGTTATTGCATCCAAAGAAAGAATTAACTAAGTATATAACAGCAGGAGTTAGTTGTTTGCTTCTTTCTTTGTTTTTTTAGCTTGTAATATATATTTTTTTATCATTTTATGTGATAGCAATTTATTTAGATATCATGTGAGAAGGAAATTATTATTTTTTGCCTTTCAGTTAATTACACTCACCTATGAGGTTGACACTTTAGATACAGAGAACGCTTCCTGATGAATTTGAGGTTTTAAATTATCTCAGCCTGTTATAATTTAATTTTATTCTGAATCAGAGTACATATAGAGTTTCTGAGGCAACAACCCTGCCCTCTAGCCCTAGTAAATCTAGGTTAAATATATCTAATAACTCTGGAAGATAAGATGATAAAAAGATAGATAAAATACCTAATAGATAATAATATAATAAAGTACTGCATGTTAAATATTAAGTATTAAATCATAGTTATCAAATATTAAAATATTTAATATTATCTTGTGATTTCCAGCACTTCCTATATGTTGTAGAATTTTATCATTAAATGTTCTGGTTCAGATTTCATATCATGAACTTCTCACCCTTTTCCAGGTCTATTACTATTATCCATTCTCAGCTTTTTCTGATCCTGCCAAGCTTTACAATGATCTTAGATGGAATATCACTAGGCCACAAGGTTTTGAGGCTGTAATGCGTGTAAGATGTAGCCAGGTAATCTGTAAGCATCTTACTAGTCTTACTACCTTCTCAGCGACTTGAATTGAATCTACAATTTCTCTTTACATTTGACAGGGTATCCAAGTACAGGAATACTATGGCAATTTTTGTAAACGCATTCCAACTGATGTTGACCTAGCTGGGGTTTGTATCCTTTTCTAGATGCTTATATAGTTAATTATATGCATGTTTGTCAATATACACAAATTTGAAAATATCCTTGTGCTTATGGATATATCTGCACTGACAGAATATTGAGGTTTATCGGCAGTATAGGCAATTATTATATACGGCTGACGAGAGAGTAGTTCAGACACCATGAAAACTTTTCTTTAAACTCCTAATTACAATCCTTACTAGTGAAAACTGTCAGTGCAGATTTTGAACTCTGATCTGTCATTGCTTGAGTTAATTGTGACCCCTTTATGTTGAGCAATAAGGCTGACCAAAAAAAAAAAAAGGGAACTTTATATTGGGTAGGTGAAATCAGTGATTTTTCATTTAATAAATATTGTGGGATATCAGATTATTACTTTGAACAAGAAGAAACCTGTTGCGGATCTAAGGTGCTGATTTCCCACTTTGAAGGTTCTGGTGGTGTGGGGTGTCTTCATTCAATCTGACCTTGAAAGTCCAATTCCAGTGATGTTAAAAGTTTTCGTCATGTTTGTGAAATGAATCCAAATATTCCTAATTGGTGATTTATGGTTTTTAGTTTTAAAATTAATATTCCTTGTATCTACTCTGGACTTGATGCTTGCAAAGGGCCTTGTGTCTTATTTCCATCACCTGATGTGTTGAGAAATGCGCATTTAGCTTAACTAACACTGAAAAATATTGGTGTTATGTGGGAATTAGGGGTATTTAAGGTATTTATCACATATTAGGTTAAAGGGTATCCAGGGAATCAGCTGGACCCATCTGTATAAATAGGGGAGCAGCTTATGAAATTGCAAGGAAATGAATGATATTGTGGCGATTGCAATTTTGAGGCCTCCACCATACCATCTATCAATTGGCTGTCTCACTGTTTAACTTTTGGAGTTAATTTATGTTAAATACTATTTTGTATGTGCAAAATATGCATCATATCCCGTGATTTATTTGGTCTTTATTTGTATCCCTTGTATTATGGGATTTTACTATATTAGATGTAAAGATTATTTCCTTTTTTGGTTTTTTTCCTCTTTTATTCCTTGAAGAAAGGTATATGCTTGAATTCTTGTAAATTAGAACTGCATACATGAGAATTCCATTTAGTCTCCTCAATTGACATTATATTTCTTTCTGATGACATCTTTTTTCCCCTTTCATTTGGCAGCTACTTTAGCATGTTTTAGTTCCTATGGTTACATCAATTTACAAATATTATGTTGGATACATCAATTTCTTCTCTAATTATATCAGTCAGTAGTTTTGATTTAGTTCCTGTGGTTATTTTATTGTTCATTTGTGTTTTATCACATTTCTGTTCTACAGATTGACTGTGACAAGACTTTTATGGTGACCCTGAAACATGATGATAAGTTGCAGGATGGATCAGAATGTGCTTTTCAGGTATTAAACTATTTTACTGCTTAATTCCAAGTATTTATGATGTTCAGATCGCCTTCGATTATTAACAGAAACTGTTAGTTTGCTTTAAACAAATGGTTTTTGTTTCTACTTTTCTAATTATTTTATTGTTTTTAATCACTCAGTGCGCTCTTCTTTACACAACTTTGTATGGCCAAAGAAGAATACGTGTTGTAACCTTATCTCTGCCTGTAACTAGCATGCTGAGCAATCTATTCCGCGCAGCAGATTTAGACACTCAATTTTGTTGTTTCTTGAAGCAAGGTATGCCATGTCTCTCTGTGCAATGTCATTGTTTATCTCTTTAATTCGCATGAGCTGCTAACCATATCAAATATTTTACTTGGACAGCTGTATGTTTATATTGGGAAAATACAACAATAGGTCCCTATACTTTGATTGTGTTATGTTTATAGTTCTTAATAGTTTTATTTCGTTGTTCTCAATCCTTTTAGTTTGACCCGTCTGCCACATTAGTCCCTAGTTTTAAAAATATGCAAAAGGACATTAGCTGGCACCAACAAAGTTAATTTTGCTTGCATGTATTTAACTCTATTAACCCTTTTGCTAACGAGTACTTAACTTTGTCTTCGTCTCCCACATTCAGTTCAAGCCAAGTAATTAAAAAAAAAAAAATCGTTTTCCCATTTATCTTTGATAGAGTGTGGATAATGGTGGTATAATGGATAATTTGAGAAGTTAGGGATATTTTAGGAATAAATATTATTTTTTTATCTAGATATTTTATATTTAATAATATTGTTTAGATTTTATTTAGATATTTAGTTACCTATATTTTATTTAGATATTTAGTTATTTAGATTTCATTTAGATATTTAGTTCTTAGATTTTATTCAGTTTTTTATGTAGATATAGATTCTAGGAGATTTTACTCAGTTTTATTTAATTATCTAGTTATCTAGATTTTATTCATTATTTTATATCGTATTTAGCATTATAAAATATGCTTAGCAACTTAGAAACAGGCATATTATGAATACCACAGACATTTGGCTTTTTGGAAATTCTTCTAAGCGTGGCTATTGTGGAATGTGTAGAACAAGAATCTTGTTCTATATCATCTTGATATATTTATTCTGTTTATTTTCTTCTGTCAATTCTATATTTTCTTATTAATATTATGAAGTTAAATTTTGATTTCATATGTTAATAGAGATGTATCTTCCTTTTTTCTCTCTACCCATCTTGGATCTTATCAACCTTTTATTTTTAATCATACCTAGTCAATTTATTTCATGTCATCAGCATATTTTTACCATGATAGCAATTAGCAAAGATGTTATCTGAGTTACAGTGAAATTGTCTTCATTAGTGCCACCTCGTGGTCTTTATGCACATTTTTTTAAAAAACATAGGAGTTAACATTGCAATTGATCAAATTATAAGGATTGGAAACAATGAAATAAAATTACAGGGACTAAAAGCAAAAAAGCAATCTAAGTACAGGTACCTATTATTGTCTTTTCGCATTTATATTTTATTGTCTTTTGTGTTGTTAAGTGGTTCCTTGGTGTTATCATCCCAGTTCCTTCAGAACATGTGGTTGCTAGTACAACTAAAGTAAGAGAACCTCAAGACTTATCATCATTTTTCTTTTATAGCTGCAAGTGAAATTGCTTCAAAGCCACTCCTGCTAGTCCGAGAACAAGTGACAAATCTATGCATCAATGCACTATTTTCATATCGTAAATTTTGTGCCACTGTCTCATCATCTGGGCAACTTATTCTTCCAGAGGCACTAAAGCTTCTACCCCTGTACACACTTGGTATGTGTGGGCTTTCTACAACTCTCTGGTAGCATACTTTTGTTTGTTGACAATTTCTATGCAGCTAGTGATATTCAATATCTATCATGGTTTTTCCTTGCATGTTGAACTCACCATTTTTTAGTCATAATCTTTTCTTCATTTTCCTTGCATGCCAAAATGTTTTTCCTGCTTATTTTTATTTTATGTGTGTGAATAGATTTCCACCTTTTTCCTTTTCAAAATGGTTATTTGACTTTTTTACATATTCTAGTCCTGTTTTGTGATAATCATTCTGTCTCATTAGTCATTCAGAATGTTGATAATATGATTTTTTTTTCCCCTTCTTCGTGGCCAACACAAATGAAAATTTTTTTTTCGTTCTATCAGCATTAAGTAAGAGTGTTGGGTTGCGAAATGAGGGGAAAATTGATGAACGATCATTCTGGATAAATTATGTATCCTCTCTCTCTGCTCCATTGGCAATACCGCTTGTGTACCCCAGGATGGTGGCAATCCATGATCTTGACTCTAAGGTAAACTCTTTCATAACATTTGAAAATGCATGAGAAGATATAGATTTCATTTCATGTGAGAAATATTAGCTCAAGTGCACACTAATACGTGCTTGATTAAAACTTGATAACATGTCACATTTTGAAAATGAAACTGAAATTTGATTTCATTACATTTTATGTTAATTATTATGAGCGCCCTCTATAAATAACTAATGCTTCTAATTTATCAGTGGATTTTATCTATCTCATGAAAAGTTATTAAATTGTGTAGAATGATATTGTTTTACACCTATATCACAAGTCACTCTGACCTAATACAATGAACTCTTAACTTTTCATGACCTGCAGGAGGATCATGAATCTGTTATTCCTTCCTTCCTTCCTCTTTCTAGTGAGCATATCAGCAACGAGGGAATATATCTTCTTGAAAATGGTCATGATTGTTTGATATATATTGGAGACTCTGTGAGCTCGGATATTCTGCAGAGACTGTTTGGTGTTGCCACAGTTGATGAAATTCCTACTCTGGTAATTTCAAATTCATCCTTTTAGATTTTCCCCATTTCTAGTTGTCTTGTGATTTGTGATCTGTCAAATTCTAGGATTGGTTGCGAAATAGCTGTAAGTAAGCCAAACGCTTGAATCAATTGCTTAATTAGTGTGTTATTTTGGAGAATGATTGCTATAATATTGACTCTTCACGGAGCTACTAATTTTAAAACATTATTCATAACCTGTGAAAAAAGAAAAAGGTTGAGAGTGTAAACAGGTTGAGGTTGGAAGGAACTTCTGAATTGTGGTCCAAATCTTATAATTTGATGTTGTTTGACTAGTTATAAAAGCATTTGTGTGTGATTTGGACTATAGATAGGGTAATGTGATCTGCATGACATTCTTAGGGTTACAAGACTTGAGGACCTAATAAACTGTTGGAAATGATGACGTTGGAATGGAATGGAGTAGAATGGGATAGAACATAGTGAAATTTTAAAGGTATAGAATGGGATAGGACATAATGAAATTGTGTTTGATTATCATGAATCTGTTATGATATTAAGAATGTTGAAAGCAAATTTATTTGTATGTTTAATTAAATAAAAATGAAAGTGGAAAATACTAAAAATGCCGTTTGACAAAATATTTCCCTTCCCCATCTTCCTTTTACCTTCTTTCTCCCTCCGTCTTGCCACCCCTTCCCCAACCATTGCTGCCAACATCAACACCACCATCACTGCAACTCCACAGAAGAGGACGAGAAAAAACAAAGACACAAATCTGAATCATAGCCATTGACAGCCATGAAGAAGGATAGCCTAAAGTGAACAAAACAACAGGTGCAAAATCTTGAATCAGAGCCATTGGCGGTACCAAGCATCTGAGAGATTTTTGTTGATGTTTAAAATAAACTCTTAACTTTTCATGACCTGCAGGAAGATTATGAATCTGTTATTCCTTCCTTCCTTCCTCTTTCTAGTGAGCATATCAGCAACGAGGGAATATATCTTCTTGAAAATGGTCATGATTGTTTGATATATATTGGAGACTCTCTGAGCTCGGATATTCTGCAGAGACTGTTTGGTGTTGCCACAGTTGATGAAATTCCTACTCTGGTATTCAGGATTGAACCATTGACGGTACCAAGTATCTGAGAGATCAGCAAACTGAAGCTTCCATGAACGGTGACACTAGTGAAGGAGAAACCTTTGTAGCAAACAACAACAGACAATTTAATTTCTAAGTTGGGTGTTGAAGGCAAACCAGGCAGATGATGCCATGGTGCCAATGATCACAAGGCTACACTCACAGCGAGAGAAGATAGGATGGAGAGGAAAGGTAAAGATAGAGATGATTGGATCCATTCCACCTTTCCTGACAAGGACGATGGTGGAAGAGGTGTTGGTGGTGGTGTCAATGGAAGAGGCAGAGAAGGGAGAATGGAGAAGGCTGGTGGTGTCAAAGAGAAGGCTCATGAACGGAGGTTGATGGTGATGGAAAAGGCAATAAGGCATGATGATGATAGAGGACAATGGAAGAGGATGAGTGAATGGCATCAAAAAGGAGGGTCAAGAATGGTGGTTCCATTAATTTTTGGGAGAAATGGAGAGTATTATTTTATGGTAATCAGGATTCTATTGGAAAGGCTTTGCTTGCAACCAAATGTGTCAAAATGATGGAATCCTACCAAATTCCATTCATTTCCCTCAGTATTCCTGCAACTAAACGTGACCTAGTATTTTGCCTTTTAGATAGGATGAAGGATATTTGAGCCTTCATTTAACACTAGTCTTCAGATACTCTGTTAGATTTACCTCTCTCAGGAGCCAAGAGTCCCATTTTATATATGAATGATATTAGTCACTCCAAAAGTCCTTGCTCATCCCATGTTTAGGAGAGAGAATTGAACTCAATCAGCATTAAATGATCATCGAAACAATGAAATGACTCCCTTTCTCCTTGTAAAAAGGTTCATAATTTCTTCCTCTGCTTTTTTTAGGTAATATATATTGTGATTGTCAAACCTTGTATGCAAAATACTTGCAGTGCATTTTAGCTTGGAACTGGTTATGTAGAGTCTTTGGCTCGAAAAATGTAGAAGTGAATTCAAACCATTTTTTTCTTTTTCAACAGTTTGTGTTACAGCAGTTTGATGATCCATTATCAAAGAAATTAAATGAAGTGGTAAATGAGATACGGCGGCAGAGATGTTCTTACCTCCGGTAAGCTGGTTATTTCGTTGCCTAGTATAACAAATCTAGATCTTGATTGAATAATCTTTCTTATGATCTGAAAACTTAATGAAGTGTAAATTTTAAATAAGCTTTTGGTCTTCTGGCAGGTTAAAGTTATGCAAAAAAGGAGACCCATCAGGTGAGTGCATTAGATGTTCCTATTGAATTCTGAAGATGCAACAATATGAATCCGTTCTGAAATCTTTTTGTCAGTGCTTCAGTTTATTTGAAGTCAATGGTCTTTATTGCTTAGTCCTCCAAATATGTCTTTTTGATGGAAAACGGAAGACCCCTACTGGGATTAAACGGGGTTTTGATATTTATATTTGATAAGAAATGAATCAGAAGTACAAGAGAAATATCTGATTCTAGCCAAAACCCTGACCCCTCTTACACCCAAAGCAAAATGCATCAATAATAACTCAGTTTGAGACCCAAAAAAAGAACATGGGAATAAACAACACAATGACACTGGACTTCTGAGAGGCCAGAACCCTCGCAGACACACTCCTACTAACTGAATAAATTGGGCAAGATACTTTTCTCATTAATGAGTGGGGCTATTTATCTAGGTTTAACCACATCAGTCTCGGTTACTCCCTACAATCAGAATGATATCAATAATATTTATATAACCTTTCACCAAAAACATAATATTTACAAATCAATCAGAATCCTCTCTAATAAAGTATGAGATATGCAGATAGATAATAAATAAATGCTGTACAATTCATTAGGTGGCAGACTATAGTATTGCAACCCTAATTCTTCTTGGGCTGAGTCTTCTTGGGCCTAAGTTGCCCTATTCCAACACTAACCGAAAGACTGAACTCCCCTCTCTGGACGAAATGGAGGATTTAAAACCCAAAAAGTAACAACAAACATTGTCCACACCCCTAGCTGCACCTAATCCCTACTCATACTACTTTTCTGCTATAGCCAAGAACCTCAAGATAATTCTCTTATCCACTGAGCTACTCTTTTCTACACCATTTCCCTTACCATAAATTCTGCTATTGGTCCTGGGAATTTATTTGTAAATATGCTGTGAATCGTCATCTCTATCAGAAAGCATAGCATCTGATTAGATTGGGTTTATGTTTTATCAGTTATCTTTATTTTAAGGGAGAAATTAATTATTTGATCCTTATAGTTTTAATTCTGTTGTTACTTAATCTTTCAACTTTGACTCATAACTTAGTACTTATAATTTTGACTCGGTTATAACTTGGTCTTTGAATTTTGACTCAATGTAACTCAGTTCCTATACTTTTAATAGTTTAAAATATCTGCCCTTATATTTTAGAAAATAAAATTGTAAAAAATAATCTTAAATCTTTATAATATGTTTAAAGATTAAAAGTTTCTAAAATATGTGATCCAGTATTTTAAACAGTTAAAATTATAGAGTATAAGTTGTATTAAGTCAAAATTGAGGGATTGAGTTACAACTTGATCAAAACTATGGAAATGAAATGATTTTTCATTCTTTTAAATTCTTAAGATTTACTATTTATTTAGATTATCTTTTGAATGAATGTAGTTTGGACTAGGATCTATAGTATTTATCTTGTTTCCCTGTCTTATCTAGGATTAATGTTAGGTTTTTATTATTTATCTTCATATTTTACCCTTTCTCCTTTCCCCCTCCTTTCTCTCTCCCCCTTTGTTGTTTTGTTCCCATGAGAAGGAACTTTTCGTGGTACATCAGGTGCGTGAAGTGAGATACTTCTCTCCAGCGCTATAACATGTGCTCCTAATGTTTTACACTTTTGTGCTGCTTTATAGTTAATTTTCAACTCAAACATTCCTCGCATAATGTGTATGCCTCCTATAGTTGATCTATCTATTCTTCAATTGATGATTAATGTTACAAAATGACAGTTTGATTTTTAAGAATCTCGTGTTTATTCAGAGTTGCTTCATCTTGTACCAAGTTTGGCATTTACTTCTGTACAACCAAGACGCATGATTTTGCTTTGTTAGGATTGATATTACTGCGTACCCAATCGAGCTGTGTATTTTCTGCCGTCTATATCAGAACTAGGCTTATAGATAATGGAAACAACCACATACTGTACTTGTGTCGCTTTGCCGGACAAGTTCAAGACAGGAAATCTTTAGATAGGAGGAGAAAACTGTTGAGTATGTATTTCATTTTTCTAGTTATATAACTGATCTCTAAATTTACTATGGATCAGGAATGTCTTTCTTCTCATATATGGTAGAAGACAAGAGCACAGGGGGCTTCTCCTATGTAGAGTTTCTTATCCATGTGCACAGGCAAATCCAGCATAAAATGACGGCATAACGAGTACATGCCTACTCTAGTTGAGCAAGCTTCACCTTAACATTGAAAACTCCCAAGAATAAGTGAGATTCTGGTTAAATTTGCTCATTCGAATCATTGCCTTGCACTTTTGTCAGAGGAAAACTATTTTTGTTTGATTAATTTACTAGGCGATTTGATTTTGTAATAGTTTACAGGTTCTATGTTCATATTATATTTGTAGTTTGGTTCTTGTTCATTTTAACTTACATTCGTTATTTAGAGTATGCGACAAATAAAAACATTTTATTTCGGGTGCTTGTTTTGAGTGTTGAAGTTGTGCAGGATAAGAGTTGAAAATATTTCAACAGAATAATCATAGCAAGTTAAACTTTCTATTGATCCTGCTTCCTGTGTATCCGTGGAGAAATTTAGGTGGTCCCAGAGCACTAGGTCATTTGTGCACTAGCCAAGTAAAATGTTTCATTTATGCACTACTTTCTCTTTCCAATTTTTTCCCTTAATTTTAAATTATTTTGCGCAACATAGGAAATTATAAACATAAGTAAAACACGAAAACATAAGCTCCCAGGCGGGCGTGCTAAGCGGCTGAGATTAGTAGGAAAAGAATAAAATCCAGGTACTTGAGACAAGGATCTTCGTACTAATGTTCTGGCAAACAAATCTTCGGTGGTACCCTTCCAAGGATATATGCGACTTGTGTGATACTACAATATCTTTAGTCATTAACTAAACTAGAGTCCACATAGACATAATGAAAATTAGAATACATTAAAGTTTGAAGTTTTAAGATATGCAATAGGGTCAAAAGATTAAGATGTGTGATAGACGATGTTTTATAGACTTTAATGATGAACCATGCACTTGTTAGTTATAATTGCGTGAAATTCCAATGAATTAAAATGGCAATATATGATATGTTGTAATTTAAATTAAAATGGCAATTTATGGTAAGGTCAAAAAGGAAACTGGTCCAAATACATTGAAAAGAATGACTTACATTGTAATTGGACCTTTTTAGACGACCATGGTCTTAAAGTAAAAATATGTATTTCAATAATGAAAAGGCTAAAATGCCTTTAATACTGAAAAAGAAAGAAAAACATGAGATATATAGTAGACAGAGGACGGCACACGAAAAATATGGTTTTCAAGAAAATCAGACCCTTTTATTTGAAAATCTGGCATAGGTGACATGAATTTTTAAATAAAACATTAAGTTGTCAGGATAAAAAATGGCAACTTGAGGATGTGTCTAAGTTAAGGGAAAATTTTTAGGAATATCTAACACTTTTGTTCAGAATTTTGACCTAGGTGACATGAATTGAGGACTTATTTGGGATTTGCTTCTATTTTTTGTTTTTAAAAACTTATTTTGCAATATAGTTTTTAAAATTGTTTTTTAAAACAAAACAAAAAAAATCTATTTGGTTGTGTTAATTTGAAATTAGTTTTAAAATCAAAAAAAAAATTGTTGATAGTGATTATCACTGACAATTAATTGTGGTGGCTTATCATAATCATTAGTCAAGATAACTTTAATTTTCAAATGTGATGTATTTTGAAAAAATAAAAAATAAAAACAGTTTTAAAATGTTTCAATATTGTGTTTTCAGAATTAAAAATAAGAACAACTTTCAAAATTAGATAGATTCAAAATGCTTACCAAACAAATTTTTTTTAATTTTTGTTTTTAAAAATAAAAATTACTGTATTTTTTAAACAGCCCTAAGTTTCCAGGGAAAAAATGACAACCTGAGGTTGTGCCTAACTAAGCGAAAATTTTTGAGAGAAATTTGACACTCTTATTTGGAAATCTGACCTAGGTGTTGAATTAAAATTTCTACTATGAGCATCAGTCTTGCTTCAAAAGTACCAAAGGGTTTTGGAAGACACTGGAAGTGGGTGAAAGAAATATTTCCCCATTTAGCTTCAAATTTATTACATATTTTTCAATAATCTGCAATGTATCTTTAATACTTATGAATTTTCAACACTCTTCAGTTTACTTCAAATTCTTCGATAATCTTCAGTTTTTCTCGAAGATACTGCAAAAATCTTGAAGATCGTTGGAAGATGAAGGAAGAAAATTTGGTGCATTTACCTTCAATTGCCTTCAAAGTTTCTTCAATATTCTTCGAGATCTCTGAATTTTCAGAAATCATTATTTTTTTTTCACATGTCTTTCAAAATTCTTCAAGAGTCTTCAATTTTCAACAATCCTCTACACTAATCTTCAACAATTTTCCATGCATCTTAAAGATCTTGGAAGATGAAGAAAGAATCTCTTATATAGATTTAGCTTCAATTATCTTCCAAGTATCTTTGATATTCTTCAATAGATTTGAATCTTCAACAATTTTTAATTTGTGAGAATTTTCTTAAAGGCTTTTGGATGTGATCTAATTTTAATTGAGGTCTAAAAAATTTTAAAATTTCACTGCAAGCCTAGAGGACTAAAATGAAATAATTTTTTTTTGGTTAAAATAACTAAAATTCCCTTCAATTATAACAAACATTATTGAAATAATAAGTCAAGTTATAATTTTTATAAATAACATTATTAGAATAAATTTAACTTTTTGTTATTATCATAATATTACTTATAAAAATTGTAGCTTGACTAGTTATTCTAATAATATTACTCATAAAAATCATAACTAGCTTGACTTATTAGAAACAATGTTACTTGTAAAAACTATAACTTAAATTATTATTTTACTAATGTTATTTGTAAAAAATTATCACTTAACTCATTTTTTAGTTACGTTAGTTGTAAAAACCATAATATGACTTGTTAATGTAACTTGATTTGTTATTCTAATAATATTACTTATAAAAATCATAACTTAACTTGTTATTGTAGTAATGTTAATTATAATTCAAGGGACATTTTGGTCATGTAATTAAAAAAATTTCACTTCAATCCTTCGAGCCTGCAGTGAAACTCTAGAATTTTTTAGGCCTTAATTGATATTTTGTCATATCCAAGGATCTTTAATGAAATTCTCCCTTTCTCAATAGTGTTGAGATACATTTTTACCTATGAACTATTCTCTAAAAAGCACCTGATCTCTTAAATGATTTGTCATATCAACTTTACCTTTAAAGTAATTAAAATGTAGGATATTTACCCTTGCTATTAAATACTCCAACTTCGATGATTAAAATGCTGAGAGAGACTTAAGTTTGATTAAAAAAATGCCACATGTCATGCTAAGTGGGTCCAAATCCAAGTTAAAGGTGCATTTTTGCTACATTTTAATTACTTTAGAAACAAAATTGCCACCATGCAAATGATTTAGGATAGTGAATACTTCTTAGATAATAGTTTAAAAGCAACAATGTATCTTAACTTGAATCTATTTGGCATGACAAGTGACATTTTTGGTTAAACTTATGTCTCTATCAACATTTTTAATGGTCAATTTTGGAGTATTTAACGTTAAGAGCAAATATGTTATGTTTTAATTACTTTATAGATAAAATTGCTATGGTAAATAGTTTAAAACATTGAGTGCTTCTTAGATAATAACTCAAAAGCAAAAATGTGCCTTAGTTCTTTTTCATACATGGTTGTTTTTTTTATAAAACATAAAATTTTCACTCTATTTCTTAAAAAATTATGAAATTCACATATTTTCAATTTCATAAGATCCATTTTCGATTAGTTTGGTTTTAGATACATTTGGTTTGTCATATATTATAAGTTGTTTTCTAAAAGAATTTTGTGGTCCTGAGTATAAATTACTTTGCAAAAATTTGTGTAGCATTAATTGTTTTATTTCAAATATAAGCTTCTTATCAATTTTTTTAGGAGATAAAGAATGTTCGTGTTTTAAAATTTATGGTATTTATTAGGATGAAAATGAAAATAAAAGCAATTTTAGACAAGTTCAATTAAAGTATGCTTGTCATTGCTGTTAACCTTTATTAATTGTCTTCATTTGATGGGAAAAACAAAACAGATGAGATTGATCAAAAGGGCTAAATGACCTCAACATTTGGTTAAAAGAACTAACACTTTTGTTAAGTTTTTTAGGAGACGATCCCGCGCCCTCGCTACGGGGTGAGGGAGGGGGTATGCACGCACATTAAAAAAGTTCTTGAATATGATATAATTTCAATTGAGATTTAAAAAATTTTGAAATTTTACTGTATGTTTAAAGAATAGAAATGAAATAAATTTTTTAGTTAAATAACCAAAATGTCCTTAAATTATAATTAATATTATTGAAATAACAAATTAATTTACAGTTTTACAAATACTATTGCTAAAATAATAAGTCAAATTATGGTAAAAAACAAGCTATGATTTTACAAGTAATATTAACTAAAATAACAAGTCAAGTTATAATTTTTATAAGTAACATTAGTAAAATAACAAAATAAGTTATGATTTTTAAAATTAACGTTGCTATAATAATAAGTTAAGCTAATTATAATTTTTATAAGCAATATTAGTAGAATGATAAGTTAAGCTACGATTTTAATAAGTAATAATATGATGATAATAAAAAGTTACGTTTATTTTAGTAATGTTATTTATAAACTCCATACTAATAGTGTTATTTATATAAATCGTAACTTAACTTGTTATTTTAGTAATATTAATTATAAATTAAAGACATTTTAATTATTTAATTAAGAAAATTTTTTTATTTCAGTCCTCTAAACTCAATGAAATTTTAAAATTTTTTAAACTTCAGTTGAAATTATATCATATCTAAGTACTTTTAATGAAATTCTCCCTGTAAAAAAAATAATATACATCTATTGTAAAATATAGTTAATATGAAGAGTAGAGAAGGATAAAATAATGTAAAAATAGAGAGAAAACAATGGAGGAGAATTCTTATTTAGTGTACATATGCTTTGGACATGACTTTTATTTATAGGCATCTAACCATTCAGTCCTACCTTAATATTACAAGGATATAATGAGGTCTATAATGGTGTATTATGTAACATTTGAAGGTTATAAGCTATTAAGACTAGAAATTCCTTCCATGCCATTCATGAGGACATTAAGGATAAAGGAATAAAAAGCGTTATGAGTTATAAATATCCATAACATAATATTTATAATACTCTCCCTTTGATATCCATAACAAATATTGTGCCTCATTAAAACCTTACTAGGAAAAAAAACCTAGTGAAGGAAAGAAAGTACACAATATTTTAAATATTTACTAATGTTGTCTCATTAAAAAACTTTTCTAAAAAAATCCAGTGGGACAAAACCTTAGAAAGGGAAAAAAGTATAACATAATATTTACTCCCCATAGTCTTTCCTTGG